CCAAGACAGTTGTTTCTGTTGGCTGTCAGACTGAAGATGAAGCTTTGTTCCCACAGATGCAGGCAGACTTCTTTCCTCTGGTTTGTGTTTTTAGCAGTGTTTTCCAATCCAACTGCTGCTTGTAACTTGATAGCTCAATAGATACAGTGTTCAGGTAAAGGCTGGTATGAACTGCTGGAAAGGAGGGAGGACTCGTGGATAATATCTAATCCCAGCTGTAGCACTGCAGAGTATGTGTCCGTGCAATAACCTGCTGGGGGGTGTGGGTCCTGTCTGTCCTGATGGGCACTTTGTGCAGCAGGGACTCTATTTCCCTCTGAGATTAAGAAGGTGGCTCAGAAGCAGCCTGCAGCTCTCCCTGCCACACTCTCTCTTGAAGTGAGGGGAATAAAAGATGGCAAAACCTCCATACTGGAAGGAGCAGATCAGCAGTCCTTCCTGTTTGCCCAGTTAAACAGGTGTCCATGGTACAAGTGGATTTAGGGAGGAGATGGCATGATCAAGAGCTGTGTTCTGCATCTGCCAGGGAAGGGCTGTAGCTCAGGGTAATGGGGGAGTCTTAATGCATATGAGCAGTGCAGTGTTAGAGTACAGGCAGCTCTCGAGCAGTGAGCAAGGAAACACCTCTGCATCTTGAACTGTTGTGCTTTTCAGGTGATCTCTGCTCTTCCCCTCACCCACAGTGCCAGTCTGCTGTCTGCTCCTGCACCCCTGGGCACCCCCACCCCTGAGAAGGCAGGACCTCCTTTCTGTTTCCTAGCATGGTGTGCTCTTCTAGTCAGTGTGTGCTGGGATCTGCTCCTGGAGCTCCCAGTGCCATTAAGGTGGATGATATTCTGTAGTGCATGGTTTGCTGCTCCAGAGCTCCTCAGTGAACTTGAGTGATGGCAGATCTCCTGGGTGAAGGGTGGGAATTTGAAGGGCCTTTGCATGATGAATTTATGTGGATGCTGTGCTGAGTGTCCCCTGTAAGCAGCAAGCATTGCCTGCAGGAGGTGCAAACAAACCACTTTCAGGTGGAGACTCATCTGTGGGCTGCCAAAAGGCTGGATTGCCAAGCCAGGTAGAAATTGAGGTGTGCACAGGTGGCCTGCACTGAGGTCAGCTGTGGCTGGCAGGGGTGTGTGGTCCTTACAGCCAAGGGTGAAGTGCTCTGTTGCTACATCATCTCCTTTCTATCCAGATGGTATTTATCACTTGTGTGTGGCATGTGTGCCTGCCCTGCCTGGTGGCCATAAGCCCCTGGCTAGAGTGAGAGAAGGTTTGATTCTTTCCACACAGTGCAGCTCTTTTTGTTCTACTGTGCTGTGCAGGGAGCCCTGGCTTTATCCTGGGGCCCTGGCCAGGCTCTGTCTGTTGTCTCCCTCCAGGAGAAGTCTCGTTGCAGTGATGTGCTTTGGAGAGTCACCCTCATAGTTTGGTAGCAAATGTGTGCTCTGTGGTGGAAGGTTTGTTTTAGGCTCAGGACATTGGGTGCAACGGGGGTGCTCTGTGCCACTGAACTGGGATGGCTGGAAGGAGAGAGGAGGGGAAAGCTGTGAGTTAGGCTCCGTGGGGAGTCATGCTGCATGCTAGGCAAGGCTGAGGAGTGTGTGTATGTGTGTCTAAAAAAAAAAAAAAAAGCTAAATTTATGTATGTCATGAGAATTTTTATACAAACGCGCAGAAACCAGGATTTGTCATTGAGTAAACTATTCCACTGCAAGTACAAGCTGCTGCAGGACAGGGAATAGAGCTCCTCCTGTGGCTGGAAGGGCATGTTCTGCCAAGGCTCCGAGGACTTCCGCGTGTCCGTGCTCCTCTGGCTCTGCTGGCAGCCAGGGTTGTTCACAAGTGCAGGTTTTATGTCTGTTTTAATCTATTCTCTTAGCAAAAGAAATCATGTGCTCCAGACCAGAGGATTTTTTTGGGTGTCTCTGAACCTGACAGTAGCTATGGCCATGCAAAGTCAGCTAAAATAATGTCTCTTTCCTTGGTGCAGTTTGTCTGCTAAGGAGGCTGAGCGGCCAAGGAGAACATATGTTTTGTTTATAAGTTACAAGCCTGAGTAAAACATTTCTTCCCCCCCTCTGGGAAGCCTTTCCAAGCCATGTGTGCTGTAGTGGTGTGAATTTCAGAAATGGCCTCTGAGACAAGTATCTGAATCCCTTTCCCTCCAACCTGTGCGTTTCCAGGTCTGACACTAGACGTGGCAGCCCTGTGTGCTGGGGCTCTGCTGGGGATGCACTGCCCTCTCTGTAGGTAAACAGCAGGCAACTGGAAGGGAATTATTTCCTTCCTGTTTCTACTTGCTTAGCTCAGGCATGGGATGAGAACCACCTGAGAGGGCCAAAAAGACTCGGCAAACAGATCTGCATTCAGTGGTGCAAAGGAAGAAGGTGTTCTAGCTGAAAGGGAGGTGAGATGAGGGAGAGGAGAGCATCTCTATCAGAGAAGAGAGACAACTGAGCAACAGCATAGAAATGGAGAGAGGTCAAGGGGAAGGGGCCTCTGGATGGCGTCTGCTTTGTCAGCTGGCCAGGAACTGATGAGGTAAAGGGAAATTTTTGGCAGAGGCTTAGACAGCACTGTACTGACTGCCTGGGATGTGCTGATGACTTCTGCTGTATGTGCAGTGAAGGAAAATCAAATTCTCAGCTCACAGCTCTGGTGTTACACATCCCAGGGTCTCTGCATGCCTCTGCATGGGCAGAATACATGTGTGTACTTGATCCTGGCTCTCACAGGCTTCCTCAGAGAGCACAGCTGGCTTCTGGCAGCCTCCTGTCTGTCTCTGCAGAGGAGCCACTGGCAGCAACAACAGTCATTTATCTGGTCATCACAGCAGCATTCACCTTACCATCTTTGTTTTTCCTTCTCTGCAGTTCATGGCCCAGGGAAAAGCTGGGAGCAGCTCCCCTCCATCCACAGCCTCCAAGCCTGGCAGTCAGCTGGACACCATGCTGGGAAGTCTCCAGTCTGACCTGAACAAACTGGGTGTAGCTACAGTTGCCAAAGGTGTCTGTGGAGCCTGCAAGAAGCCTATTGCTGGGCAGGTGAGTGAAAGGTGCTGTGTCATTGCTGAATCTTGGGCTGCAGCTGGGAGTACCGGGGAGGGCTGTTTCGTGAGGCTGAAGAGACTGGAGATGCTGGAGAAACTGAAGTACTCTATTTATCCACTGGCTAGGTACGCTGTAAGCTCCTCCAGTGACCTCTACCCTGCCCCTGAGGGACTGCCCTCTCCTGAGATGATAGGTAATTCAGTTTTCATGCTACCCCAGTCCAGGGCTCACTTGAGTAGTAGAACTTGTCATTCTTGCTGACCTCCAGCTGGTATCTTGTCATGTGGTCTAGGAGAGAGAGAGGTAGAGTTGTTCTTCATAATTTGTCTTCCCAACAGGTAGTTACAGCCATGGGGAAAACCTGGCACCCTGAGCACTTCGTCTGCACCCACTGCCAGGAGGAGATCGGCTCACGGAACTTCTTTGAGCGGGATGGGCAGCCCTACTGCGAGAAGGACTACCACAACCTCTTCTCCCCTCGCTGCTACTACTGCAATGGGCCCATCCTTGATGTGAGTTCCTTGGGAGAATAAGGGTGCTGGCAAGGTGCTGCAGGCCTGGGTGTTAAAAACTCCACCCATGTGTCCTGGGGAGGATTTTGTCTGGGGGTTTCTGTATTTCCTTTGTCCTTGCTTTGAAAGGGAAACAACTTGGCCCAGTCAAATTCTTACACTAGCGAGAGGAGATAGTCCCTCTCACCTTCACTGAAGTTCCTTCAGATCCCCACATCTCTCCATCATGCTGGTAATGATTCCTCAGCTTCTGTGTGTTGGTAGCCTGTGGTAACAGGCACCAGTGCTAGTCCTGAGGGCTGGACGGGGCCCTGTGCAAGGGAGGAAGCAGTGCCTGAGATCCTTTTAGGGTAAAAAAAAGTGTGCAGTGGGGAAAGGCTGAATGAGCCAGAGGCAGGGGCGAATTGACTCAGCTCTCTAAAGGACAGTCTATTTTAATGCTTGCTCTTGTCAGCACCAGCATTAATGTGCTCTCCCTTCCATCCCTCCAGCCCCCCCTACTCACCTTCAAGCTGAAGTCATTTACATGACTTGCATTTTGTGTCTTCTTCTGAACAGAAAGTGGTGACGGCCTTGGACAGGACATGGCACCCTGAACACTTTTTCTGTGCCCAGTGTGGAGCTTTCTTTGGACCTGAAGGTATTGCTGGTTTATGCAACGGGAAAACAATCTCCTCCCTGAACTGCACACAAGGCAGAACTGCTACATGCAGCCAAGACATGATGGGAACTGCTGAGGTTCCAAGGGCTGTAGCTGTTTCTGGGGGAAGGATGCTACCAGTAATCATCTCTTCTCCCCGGGGAGGAAGAGTATGCATGTGCTGGGACAGGGAAGGCAACAGACCAAGGAACAGCTTCCTTGCTGTGAGTGTTAGCTGAGGGAAGGATGGTCTTACCCACGTGGGATACACTGCACAGTTTGGCCATTGGTGAAGGTCAGGAGCTGATCTCTTTGCCTCTCCTCTCCTTCGGCAGGATTTCATGAGAAGGATGGTAAAGCCTATTGCCGCAAGGACTACTTTGATATGTTTGCTCCCAAGTGTGGAGGTTGTGCCCGGGCTATCCTGGAAAACTACATCTCTGCCTTGAACACCCTGTGGCACCCTGAGTGCTTTGTCTGTCGGGTAAGAACCCCAAGGTCCTGTGCTGCTGCTGTGTGACCCCTCTCATTGCCACCTTGCAGGCATCTGCTCCAGTATCGGGAACAGGCAGCTGTGGGTAGTGAAGGGCAGCCAGTCCCACCAGATAAAAACATGTCAGCAACCAAACACCTTCTTGTTCCTCTGCCTGTTTACATTAAACTTTCTAGCTGCTTTGCTCTTTCTGTTCCCAGCTGCAATTATGGGCTTCTGCAGCAGCTTACAGACAAACAGAGACATTTTCTGTGACCTTTAAATAATTGTAAGCTAAGCTACTCTCTAAGCACTTGCCTCAGCAATCAGATTTTGAGGATCTTCCTCCCATGTTCTATCTGACAATGTAAACTAATGAGACTGACCTTGTTCAGACAAACATGCAAGTCAGTGAAATAGTGGCAGGCTCCATACAACAGGCATAATAAACAGGAATACTGCAGATTAAATGCTTGGCACTCTTTCAGAGAGCATTGCAAATATTAACTCTTACAGGCCCCAAGAGATGAGCCAAATCAGCCAGTGTTTCCTAGAGTGGGAGAGAAAGGCAGAAACCAGATCAAGCAGCCAGAACCACAAGCTGCTGATTCCTGGTGTGATGCTCAGAGCTGACTGTCACCATGCTGTTGGGACTGTGGCTCCTGCAGTGGTGTGCAGAGAGTGGAGGCAGAAGCTGGCAGCCCTGACTGTGGGGCTGGAGGGCTGTGCCTTTTTGTGCAGAGATTGAGACTTTATCAAGCAATTCAGCTTTCCTTTCCCCCTGCTGCCACACTGCTTGAATTAGTGGGGCCAGCATGGATGTCTTCCAGGACATGATTCTCTTCCTGTTTTTGCTAAAGCAGAGCAAACTTTTCAGCTGTCCCTGCTGACTGAGGGAAGAAACTGTTTATATAACTAATTGTCAGCATTAGAAAAGTCTTGGACTCACTGCAGACAAAACACATTCATCCTGGTATTGCGAGTGTTCAGCTCTCCATGGCTCCACATGCTGTTTGCTGGACTCCTGTCCACACGTTGGGGCCCAGCTGTGTGTGATAGTGTCCTCCCTGGGGAAGAGGACAGCAAAGCCAGGATTCCTCTGGGCCTTGCTGCTGATACATTTGTTAATCTGGCAGTGTCCTCAACTCTCTCCCACACCCTGCTGCCTCAGTTTCCCACTCACACAAGGAGAGGAATCTCCCCAGTCTGGTGGGGATGGTGGGTGCTCCTGTTGCAGGTTCTGAAGTGTAGTGTCCTCAGCTGCCTGACACCAAGGGGGAGGAGGAGCTCTGGACACTAATAAGCACATAGCTGGTGTATCCTCTTCTCCTTATCTATTCAAAATCATTAGCAAACTGTACAACAGTTTCTCCCAGTAGTGATGTGTGTGTATCTGGTGGAGATGTTTCAGCCTAGATGATCCTGCACTAAGTGTACCTGCCTAATGGCAGCCATTGTGGAGAGGCCATGTGTAAAGATTAATGGTGCCTCGTTTCCTCAGCTGGAACCAGTCCCATGTTCATCAGGATTCTGCTGCATGAAAGGTTCTGTTGGTCCCTGCTTCTGCCTGCTGTTGTAGGGAGGTTGGAGTGAGATCAAAAAAAATCCAACAAACAGGGAAAGGCTCTGCAGTGTTTCCCATCTCAGGGAAAGGAGTGTTTTTTCTCCTGGCTGGACACATCTGGTAGCTCATCTGTAGTATTTTCTTTGTAGAAGTGAAACCAGCTGGAGGAATGAGCTGGTATAATTCCCATGCTTCTGCCTGTATCTGTCCATCTGTCAGCCTGTTCTTGGAAACACTTCTTGGTGGACAGAGTTTGGCTGTGGACAGCAGACGATGCTGAATGGCAGCAGTTCACCTGCCCACAGTGCAGCTGGGCTGTGCCACAGGGCAGAGAAGGCTTGTGGAGCTGCCCCTCCCTCATCCTTGGCTTCTCATACAACCTGTCCCCTTTGCTTTGTCCTCCCACAGGAATGTTTCACCCCGTTCATCAATGGCAGCTTCTTTGAGCACGACGGGCAGCCCTACTGCGAGGTGCACTACCACGAGCGCCGCGGCTCGCTCTGCTCCGGCTGCCAGAAGCCCATCACAGGACGCTGCATCACTGCTATGGGCAAGAAATTTCACCCTGAACACTTTGTCTGTGCCTTCTGCCTCAAGCAGCTCAACAAAGGAACCTTCAAAGAGCAGAACGACAAGCCCTACTGCCAGAACTGCTTCCTCAAGCTCTTCTGTTAGAGGCTCCGTAGACGGGCGCTAAAGCATCTTTCTGCCACCCCCTTGGCAGTTCTGTCTCTCTGAACATTACTGTGATTTAGGAACCTTTACCAGGCAGGGGA